GGTGAATTTTACGTCTGCACGCTGCGAGGCGTAGCCACCCGAAGGGGCCGTTGGTCAAGGTGAAACTAAACTAAAAATTACCTCGCTTGAGGTGTTGCGTTCACAGCTAGGCCCTCTCTCAGCTGCAACCCTCAGCACTCGCGAGGCCGAACTTTGCCCTCCGCATGCATGCTGTTGAGGCACTTGTTGTGGCATCAGCCTCCGTAAGTTTGGCAATCCCCACTCAGCACTGGATGTTCTGTTCGAGGCAGATTTCCTCAGCGCATGCGAGGCCGCAAAGTGAAACACGTGAGGTATGAAAAACTGCTACTCCAGGTTCGTCCGCAGCTCCGGCTTTCTCGCACTTACTAACCGTGCCTTGCAGCCTCCCCCAAAGTAGCGTCACCCTGTCTTTCTCGCTCTTACTCACCAGTTGACCAATAATGCATCTCACGCGGTTGCTTCATGGTAAAACTGCAGCTCGAGGTCCCGGCGTTCTCGCTCTTACTAACCCGGACCGACACTGCAGAGAAGCATTGACTGTTGTTCCCTCAGCGGAGGCGAGGCCGAACAACCATTCCGCTGCATCAGCGCAGCCAGGCCCTCAGCTCCTCACTGAGCCAGGGCTCTCTTTAGACAGAGTTCCCTTGCTGGCAAGCCCTCTATCTCTATGTGACCCCCGCGGTGCCACGTATAAGCAGCTGCACCGCGTGTCTTAGGACCACAGTTTTCATTCGGATTTGTTGTTGTAGGCCTTCCAGTGCTTGAGGCCGAATCCAAACACCACATCTCACGTCACAAGGCTAGGCAATTTGGCTCCAACATCTGAAGATAGTACACATACTCTGCGTGGCGTCCGCGTGAGCTAGCCTGTCCTTTCTTTAGGAGTTCGGCTCCTTTCATCGCTTGTCTTACCACAGGTCTCTTTCGGTGGCCCGTACTCAGCAGCCAGCACATGTACCATCCTCAGACGCCAGAGCCGCCTTGCCCCAGCAAGTGCCCATACAAACCCTCACCAGATAGTGAGAGCCAACATCTTCAAACAACCTCCAGCGGCCGTGCCGCGAGGACCTAAACATCTGCAAGGTTCCGCCTTGTCTGTGTGCACGGACAGACCCCAGCCCTTGCAGGAGACGTGGATGTAAACAAAAGCAGGCCTGCCATGTCCAGCAGGCTGATTACCATTGGTTGCCTTCAGATGGGAAAAGCGCGAAGATCGGGTAACCTCCATCTGAATCCTTTCCGGCCAATACCAACCCTTACAAACCCTCAGCACGGAGCGAGGCCGAAGGAGGCTTCTTGGACTATTGGTTTTCCGGGGAGCAGCCACCACCAGCTGCTCTTCAACTTGCACTGCGCCGCACCACAGTCCTACTGCAAGTTCCTGGCAACGGTTTCTCAGTAGCACCAGTCAATGAGCTTTACGACACTGATGCCTCTGGTTATTTTTGTCCAGGCAGATCCAGCAGGGTTGGGCCAAATCTTTTCTACCTGATTCTACCTGCGAAGAAAATCCTGTTGTGCTCAGCTTGCAGATCCCCGAAAACCTGCAAGCTTGGGCTCGAGCACACCGCAATTGTTCGGGACACTCCTGTCGCCACTGCAAGGATGCCTCTTGCAGTGCGACGTTGGCCTGCACTGTCTGCAGCGTGCCTGGCCGTTTCCCCCGTGTTTCGGTCTCACCTTCGTTTTCCACACAAGTGAGCGAGGAACCCAAACTCACCTTCAGCACAGCCCTCAATCCAAATGAGGGTCGGTGGGTTTTGCTCACCCAGAGACAGCAGGAATCTCTGGTGAGCAACAGGCTTGCGTCACCCCTCAAGCAATGCGAGGCTGCAACTCTCACTGTGACCCAGAGCAGACTGTAGGCCACAAGGTTCCCTCAGCAACGCGAGGACGAAAAGCTTCCCTCTAGCGAAGCGAGGCCGAAAACTGTGCACTCACGCCCTTCGTCGACGGCAGCAGTTGGCGGGCCGCCGCTCTATGACAGCTTAGCCGGTCAGCCGGCCTACGAGCAAACACAGTTTTGCCAGGGCCTCAAAACGGAACCTACCCTTAGTTACAAGCCCCAGGGCCAGCCACAACGGCACTAAAGACGCTCTCTACCTGAGCACCCCACCGGGGTTGAGCCGAAACCTTGAGCCAGGTGAATTTTTCGTCTGCACGCTGCGAGGCGTAGCCACCCGAAGGGGCTGTGGGTTCAAGTGAAACAAAAGCTTACTAAAACTGTGGGGTGAAACTGCCGGTAAGTTCCCCCTCTCATTCCTTGTCCTCGGTTTTGACGTACCGCTACCCTCAACCGAAGTGAGGCCGGAATGTCGTTTTGACCAAGTCGTTGCCATTGGCTTGAAGACTTTGGCCAAGGCAAATTGCCTGTATGCTTGCACATTCTCTGTGTTGTCTATTCGGGAGGCGATCCATGCCCTCGTTCGTGGAGGCCGCTATCCCTCACCGAATGGAGGTCATTCCTTTAGACCCAGATGCTCGTTCTACGAGCCTCATTGCATGTCCTGAGTGCTTCCATCCACCCCTCAACCGTAGTGAGGCCGGACATGTCTTCAAACCAGGTCATGGCCCAAGGCTTCATGGACTCTGGTTACGGTGGCTGCCTCTTGCATGCACAGGGCATACTTCCTGTGGCTTTTGCCGGGAGGTGATCCATGCCCTCCGATTCTCAGAGGCCGCTATCCCTCTACCGGCGGGGTGGTCAATCCCCATACATAGACCGTTCCATATTGATTGAGGCCATTCTGCACTTTCTCGTCATCTCACCTTGACGGATCCATGCCCTCGATTCACACATCTCCAACACGAGCCAAGCAGGAGGAACAGGTGAAGTACCTGCCCAACCCCTTTTTAGGCTGGAGGACGCTAAGCGACCGAAATCGCCGCTACGCACCGGTGACCCCACGCCACACACCTTCAACAGGTGGCCGGTACAGGCGCCTGACAGGGGGCCGGGCAAGGTGCCGACAACCAGGTCAAACCCACCCTGCCTGTGAGGATATTATGTACGAGGCCGCTATCCATTGTGAGACTTGACATTCTCAGCCAGCCGTAGCCATTGTTCCAAAGACAGTCGGCTGGCTCTCTTGTTTGCCACCAAAACTCCATACTCTCACTTGGGAGTCGATTTCCCTCAACCGAAGTGAGGCCCACTCTGCGACCACGGTTTAGCTGCATGCTTGGTCCTTGTGGGCATTTCTGAAAGCAGTGATAACGAATCCTCCACAAAGTTCACTGCCAGGTGAATTTTACGTCTGCACGCTGCGAGGCGTAGCCACCCGAAGGGGCTGAGGTTTGTGGGTGAAACATACAAGCTACAACTCTGCACAGTGAGACTACCGGTACTAGCCCTCACTTTCCTCAGACATTTGTCGAGGCTGAAATCCAGTCCCTCAGACCGTGGTCGAGGCCGAAATTCCCTCAGGTCATGCCGAGGCCGAACTTCCCTCTCTGGCACCCCTCAGACCGAAGTCGAGGCCGAAACTCCTCAGGCAGCACGCCGAGGCGGTATTTTGATTCGGTTTGTTGGTGCCTCTCTGACCACTATCCATGTTTCTTGTCTGCTCTGCGCTGCTCACTCATCAGCTTCGTCATACGGCATGCCCAACGTGATTCTCTGGATCTCTGTTGCCGGAACCGAATGCAGGGTTCCATCCCATCCTCGTTTTGCAATTCCGGCATCCAACAGGTGCTGGGCAAATGGCCCGACATTGCCTACGCACGCCATCCAAAGCGCGCTGGCCTTGCCGTCGTACGTTCTGACCAATCCACGTATGGTTGCCAGTAGCTCCTCATCATATTTCTCCAGGAGGCGTACGAGGCCGCATGATATCTTGTATCTCTCCTCCTGCAGCGTCGTCCATTCCGCCGTGTCAAAGAACATTGCCCGCGGTAGCGATCCTGACATTGGGTCGCGCCCAACGTTGCTCACCGTGATATCCGATAGAGCAACTCCTTGCATGGTCAGCCATGACGTTATAGCCACCAGGTAAAACAGGGACTGTCTGAGGACCCCGGCTTCATGGCGATGTTCCTGCCACCATGTGTTGAACAGCTCTGCCCTGCGGATGATACTTCCATAGAAGTAGTGGTGGCAGTAACCCTCCACCGCTTCGTCGAAAAGGACTCCAATCCATCCTGCCCACAGGGTCCTGGTGACCAGGGTGGGGAATTGTTCCCCATACCCTGCTTCGTTGCCAAAGCTCTGGGGTTCCATTGCTAGTTTCATGACCCATAGCCGATCCAGAGCATATCCTCGTCGAGTGCGCCCCGCACCTATAAAGGGAAGCACCCTAGGCTGTAAGCTTTGCCCTGTCGTTGGGTTGCGGACCAATTGGACCTCCCCAAGCCAATGGAGCGCTGTCCTTGGCCTTTGCTGGTTCTGCAATTTATGCACCAAAGGTGCACAGGCTTGACTTGCCCCATGGCTTGCTCTTTCTCCTTTCCCTCAGCTTCCTGCGAGGCCATATTGTGGGCACCCGGCCCTTCCGCCAGCGTGACTGTACGAGGCTGGTTTGCCTCTTGCTCTTCATCGTCACCCTCAGCTTGAGGCGAGGCCGTACTGTCTTCTCCTCTCTCCCGTAGGCGTACCGGACCCACCGGAGATTCCGAAGCTCTCTCCTCTTCACTATCCCAAGGCTGCTCCGGGTGTCTGGCCTGTCGAAGCGGGGACCGTTCACGGGGCTGATCCTTCTGCTTGTTCTTGCTTTTGCCCTTGCCTTTGTCCGGCCGATTCCTTAACCAGGATGGCAGTCGGGACCCTTGTCTCCTCATCGTAGCATCCGACTTCCATTGCCGCATTGCTACAGGCCCGCCTTGTCCGGCGATGACGCAAGCACGCGGCACCGCGAGGCCGAATTACACTCCCTCAGCAAAGCGAGGCCGTAACACCAAATACAAGTCCCCGTTGCGAGGCCCTCACCCTCAGCTACGAGGCCGAAAACCCTGCTCCTTGCACCAAACGGCTGCGGAATTACTGCGTTCCCTCAGCTTGGCGAGGCCTAACAAACAATGACATCTTCTGCTGTGCGCTGGCTTGGGGCTTAGCTTTGGCGTGTTTCCCACCAAACTGAACGCGAGGCTGCTGAAACTGGACGTTGCTCATACTTCCACCATTGACAAGGGTTTGCGCTTGGGTAGCCAGCTTGCCTTGAGAAGTCCGCGATTTGCACTCACCCGCCAGGCTTTTATTGCACTTCTGGCTGACCGGTGCATGTGTTCTGTCACACTTTGTGCAAACCCAACGGATTCCCAAATTCACCATATTATGGGAGGGGTGGATACCCCACTCTTCACGCACTCGCGCCTCCGGCTGGTTGACGCAGTACTGCTCCAAGACCACCTCCAAGTTCGTGAGGGTTTGTTGTACATACAACCCGCACAGTTGACATTTCAGTGTTAAATTCCGGGGGTGTTCGCTGCCCTTCTCCCATTGATGCCCGCGCTCCGGGTTTTTAAGCAACTGCCAAAGCCGCTGGCGTTTGTTGAGTTTGGCGCTGCCCTGCTCTTTTTTGCATCCCTCAGCTTTCTGCGAGGCTTCCATCTTCTCTTTGTAATGCGCATGGTCCAGGATGAAGGGGAAGTCTTCTTCTTTGCGCTTCCGCAATATGTGGGCTGCGCGTTCCCCGTACGCCAGGGAAAGTGTGCGCACCACATTGTCCAATTCTTTGACACGCCTCTTGTGCGCTGGGCTGTAAGCAGCCGCCGCCACTGCTCCACATACTTTGTCTGCCATGTCATTCGCTGCACGTCGCCACAACGTACCCGGCCCCATCTTCGCCAGGAATTCCTCTTCAGTTTTGTGGGACGGGACCCATGTTGCCTTGATACGTTTCCTGCCATTCCACACTTTGCTCCATTCCAGGTCATCCTCCGGCGGTTGTGTTTTTTGTAGCACTTGGACTGCCGGCTTGCAATCCATAGTGACATCAATCAGATCCTCCGTGTGCTCCATTAGTCGGAAAAGTGCACGACGCTCCATGTCCACCACCGGCTGCCACGGGTAGACCAGCTCTGTGATCCGCCCGACTTCCACCAGGACATCGTTTGTCCAGGACATAGCCACCACTGCAAGGGCTGATGTTTGTACGCGTGGGTCTATTCCTCCTGGACCTCCACTTGCGTCAGTGGCGAAGATCAAGCCTTCCGCTTCCACTTTTGCAGCAGCTGCAAAGCATCCTTGGTATCGCAGACCTAAAAGGTGTTCCGGCGGCTTCGGGTGCCACACCGCCGGCTTTGGCAGGAGTGCCCTTGTCCACAAACACTCCCATGGGTATTTGTGACGCAAGTAGTCCTGGAGCTTGGGTTCTTTGAACCCTTGTTCACGCCAGTAAGGACATTCCTTGAGGACATGCTCCAGAGTTGCCGGCATTTGGCACTTCTTGCACCATCCTGGCTTGGTTTCCGTGATGACGCCCGCGTGCCACACTGACTTTATACCTTCCATAAGGCCTGGGCTTAGGCCTCCCAGCTTCGTCAGCTTGTGATGCGGCGTCCAATCCAGCCCCTCTTGGGCACCAGCGCCACCTGCCTGTCTCGCTATTGCAGCCCGTTTTTGTTCCTCCAGAAATCCCTCAAGCCAGTTGTAGGCGAGGCTACCCATGCGTGGCTGGGTCCAATCAACGTTGAGGACACTTCCTCTCTTCCATTTGCCTGGGTCGCTGGCATCCACCTTCAGATCCATTAAGTACGCCATGGTTGCTGCCATCGGCCCCGTGACCAGTGGCCAGTGGTGTTTGGCCGCACTCAACCTCTTCCAAGTGGTTTTCCAGGCCAATTCAAAGTGGGCTTTTCCGCCACCAATCCATGCACGGAAAACCTTGGCCACCACCTTGAAATGCTGCTTGTGGATTGTGCGCTTTGGATCCTGGCATTTCTTGGCCCCCATGTCCAAGATGGTTTCCAAACTCCCAAGCTTGTATTTACCCAGGTGTTTTCCTACCACGGTTCGGAGCCATTTCATTCTTTTAGGTGATACCCCCACAGAGGGGTGCCCCCATAAAGCAACGGATGTGATCGCTGCCTTGACCACGCGGAGTTTAGTGCTGGGCGGCGGCCCCAGCCTGGACAGTTTGCTATGTCGCGCATGGGCTTTCTTGGCCCGCGTTGCCGACGTCACCAAGCGACGCTTTCGCCCCCCTGTACTGTCGACACCCAAGTCACGCATCACGTCGTACACCTGTGGCTCATGAGGCAACAGGAGTTCTCGCAGGTGCTTGCTCGCCTGGGTACTGCTGGCCACAAACCCTGTCTTCTTGGATGAAATCGTGAAACCATTAGCGTCCATCCCGTCCTTTAAGCTGCGGTAGACTCGTATCGCACTATCCGCAACTTGTTTGAAGGACTTATGCTGGATGTCAATTGAGACATCATCCAACCAACAATCCACGTTTGCCACATCTCGTCGCCTTTGGATCTTATCTATCACCGGGTGCAATGCCACCTTTGCCAACGATGGCGCAGCTGGACACCCTGCTTGCACGCCATTCGTGGCTCTGATGCCTGCCGACAGCACCCCATCCGCCACCAAATATCTGGCACCCATGTACACTTCCAGTGCCATCTTCAGGATTAGCGGTGGATATTGCAGGGCCGTTGCTGCCGTGATCAATTGCTGAAATTGGATGGTATCGAAAAAGGACTCGAGGTCCACAAAGAGTGACACCACATGCACACCATTTGTCTTCGCCACCTCATTTCGCAGTAGTCTGCCTACAGCCACGTCCAAGCAGCAACTGCCTGGGACTGCCTTGTCATACGTGGCAGTTTGGGCATAGCCTGCCTGCCAAGTACTTACCAGATCCCATCGCAAACGGACCCAGGTCCTGTACAGGATGTGTAGCAAAGCAATTGGTCTTTCCCGGGTCAGATTCTTCGGCAGCATTGCTATAAGGGAGACTGTCATTTGCTGCGGCCAGGCTGCCTTGGCCTCACATTCATGGAAGAAGGACACAACGGCTTCACTGCTTTGTCGTCCATGGCATGCAAATGATCAATCCTCCAGCCATCCGGCCCCGGGCTCTTTAGTGCCAGTTTTTTGATCCTTGCCTTGACCTCGACAGGGTTTAGCGGCTCCACGCTGGCCGCTTGTTTTTTGGCTGCATCCTCGAGCTCCGTCATGAGCGAGGCCGATTTTGCCAACGGCTGGCCCGTCGTCCACACTGCCGCCCAGTGGTCTCGGCGAATGTGTGGCCGTTCCAGCATGTCATATTCCATGTAGGGTCTTTGTACCACTTGTTCTTCTTTTCGCAAGGCATTGTATAATGGTCGCATGCCCTTTTCCATGGCCTTGCTGAGCCATTGCTTGTACTGGTGGGCTGTCTCTTCCATATCCGCCTTTCTCGCGTAGCATTGCTGTTCGTCGATGCGCTTCAGAACAAGTCTAGTGTCCGTACCCCGGCCCAGGATATTCACGAGCATATCCTCCTGGTTCTGAGCATCACCCTCGTAATACTCGCCGAGCCTACGTTGGACCAGGCGCGCCACCGGATGCGCATCGCCATGATGTCTGCCTTGTTTGACCCATTGTTGGACCCTGTTCCAAAAGGCCGCCCTCTTGCCTGTCCAGACAACGTTCTCCGGGTTGTTGACCACCAACTTCTTCCGGACAATCTCGGATTTAACACCCATGCCTTCGATTCGGCCTGTGATCGACCTCTCCACCCCGGCACTCAGGTGAGCGAATGTCTCACTGAGCTCATCTTCCATCTTGGGTTCATCCAGGATGTTGATGCTCTGTGTGTTTTGAACTGGTTCGTATTCCGCAGTCTCCGTCACCAATGCTCCCGCCTTCTTCATCTGGGGAACATCAGGGCTACTGCACGGTTGGGCTACCCTCCAATGCATCGCAGCATGAGGCCGAAAAGGGGTTTCCCAATCCGTTTTCACTTGCAGGATGGGCACCAAGCATTTCGCAACCAACCCGTAATCAATTTCGTCCGATCCTTGGGCCGTTGGTTCCCCCACTCCTACAAATGCACCACCAACTTCTGTCGCCATAGTTGTGCCCCTCATGGTATCCTGGGCTTCATTCCAATCTCCCAGCACCATATAAGGCACTTTGCAGCCCTTGAGAAAGGCTATCAGTCTCGCCAGTACTTGGATATTGTTTGGAGCCTGGAATCCGACCCCGCTCTCCAAATACAGACTGACGATGATCAAATCCCAGCCTTTGTTTCTCATGGCACATGCCAGGAAGCCCGCCGGTCCTGACCCATACTCGGTAAGGTATCGCAGATTCCTATGTCGGGGTGCAACCACTGCCAGGCCTCCTTGTACACCCTTAATTTTTGTACTGCCTGGCATGCCAATGAAGGTGTATCCCATATCTTGGCAATGGCTCATGGCTTGCTGGATACCCTCCGTCTTGAGGTGGGTTTCCTGCAGCACCACCAGGTCCGGTCCTAGTTCATGTATCCATGCCGCAATGGGTTTCCTCCAGCTGGTGATGTTAGCCGCTGTGATTTTGATGCATTCGGCCTTATCATCTTGGCGATACCCACTTGCCACATCTGCCAAGATCCATTTGGCATATTGTGCGTCATGCTCCACAAAGGAACGAAGCACTTCGTGGCATGCTCGTTGTTGTAGCGGGTTGAGTTCCTGCTCTTCCAGCTTCTCAATGGCTTCGAGTGCAGCAGCCTCACTGGAAGCATCATATCTACCCACCACTTGGCATAGCGTTTGCCACTCCTTTGGCAGATCTTTTGGTGGTTTCGTGGGTTTTGCTTTCCGCTTCTTGGGCTTTTGTTTGCCTCTGCGACCCTCAGCACACGGCGAGGCCGAGAAACGTGTTTCCTCAGCTTCCTGCGAGGCCTTCATGTTCTCCCCTCTAACCGCTGCATGGTCTCTCATCTGTATTTGGCTTCCCTCAGCTTCTCGCGAGGCCGAATGCTCACATTCCTCCTCGATGTCTTCCCTTGTTATATGGAAGTATCTGGGCCCTGTGACCGCCCAACTGCTGTCCACAGCTCGGACAGCCTCCGGACCCCTCTTAACTGGACTCCAGCTCTCTTGGCTGTCTTCCACTGTGCTGTTTGTACTAGGCACATGGGTACTAGACACAGCTTGACTGCCTTCCCCATGCGCCTGTGGCCATACAATGTCCCCGTGACACTGCTTCCGGCCACCACCAAAAGTGTAAACAGAGTCTCCCCATTGAGACTCCTGAGACTGTCTTGCTTGCTTCTTCTGGCTGTTCGGACCAGGAGCGACTCTGAGGTGTCGGCCCCTCCACTCCTGTCCCAGCCGGAGGCTTCATTCGCCATGGGCACGCGCCGGCGAGCGTTCGCGCCCCGTCGGCGTTGCCCTGACTGACACATCTCGAGACATGCGCATCGGCCCATACATGCCAAGTTCGGTTGGCATGCCTGGCTCTCGTGGGCCCAAGACTCCAGTCCAGTCTGTCTCCACGACCTTGACTGCCATCCTTGTTTTGAGCGCTTCCGCTTGCTCGTCGGTCAGGATGATCCCTTCCTTTTCCAGGTAGGATGCGACGTCCTTGTACGGCGAATCCTCCTCATCTTTCACACAGGCTTGTACCTTCCTCTGTGCTTCCGCAACCTCAAGCTCCGTGGTCTGGATGGCCTGGCTGACTTGCGCAAGCTGCTTCATGGCCTGCTCGAACTCGCTCTTGATCTTTTCCGTTTTGTCTTGAAGCCGGACCTTTTTCTCAATGAGTGATCTCAACTTGTTTGTCGTCCTTCTGTATGTACCAACATGGCGGCTGAGCTCCTGCTTTGGCGTCTCATCCTCAGGCTTGTAATCCCCTGGCGGGGGAATACCCGCTGCCCTGAGCAGCCTTTGCACTGCGGGCTCAGCTCCCTGCCACACCGTTTCAATGGCCTCGTGGTACTCCTTTTGCGTCATGCTTTCGGTTTGCGATCCACTGCCCGGTAGTCCCGGGGGCCAATTGGGCCCCGGCTCCATCGTCCGCGGCTTCCATCCTGCTTCTTCGATGGCCTTCTTTGCCTCCATAGAAAGCGTACCCCACGCCTTCGTGAGAGCTTGGTCGGCCGTCCCTTCTTTGTTCTTGGCCTGTCTTGTCCACCATGTAGCGTCGTCCTTTGGCCATTGCCACTTCTTACGCTCGCTTGACCATGCTCGCTCACGGTAGGTGGCCTTTTTCCACGCCTTTCCGCAATGCCAGCAGTTCGGGTTGTAGTACAAGTCTTCATTCCAGACCCAACCCACCTCACAGTGGGCACACACAGTACAATGCTTCCCCATGACTGCTGCAGCCTGATGCTAGTCCCACCAGCACCTCAGCAATGCGAGGCTTAGATCCCCTCAACCGTAGTGAGGCCGAACTTTATGTGTCCCAGCCGGAGCGAGGCCGAACTAGCCCCTCCCTCTGCCGAAGCGAGGCCGAAAACACACCCTCTGCCGAAGCGAGGCTGAAAAGTTCCCTCAGCACTTGGCGAGGCCGTACTCAGGCAGCTATGTTGCTGGCAGCCGACTACCAAGCAAACACAGTGGTTTCGGTTTGAGTCCTGTTGGAGCCCACCCTTAGGTACAGCCTCCAGGCCACCGAACAGCTCACTACCTGCGCACCCCACCGGGGTTGAGCCGAGACTTGAGCCAGGTGAATTTTACGTCTGCACGCTGCGAGGCGTAGCCACCCGAAGGGGCTGTGGGTTCAAGTGAAACAAAACTTACTAAAACTGTGGGGTGAAACTGCCGGTAAGTTCCCCCTCTCATTCCTTGTCCTCGGTTTTGACGTACCGCTACCCTCAACCGCAGTGAGGCCGGAATGTCCTTTTGACCAAGTCGTTGCCATTGGCTTGAAGACTTTGGCCAAGGCAAATTGCCTGTATGCTTGCACATTCTCTGTGTTGTCTATTCGGGAGGCGATCCATGCCCTCGTTCGTGGAGGCCGCTATCCCTCACCGAATGGAGGTCATTCCTTTAGACCCAGATGCTCGTTCTACGAGCCTCATTGCATGTCCTGAGTGCTTCCATCCACCCCTCAACCGTAGTGAGGCCGGACATGTCTTCAAACCAGGTCATGGCCCAAGGCTTCATGGACTCTGGTTACGGTGGCTGCCTCTTGCATGCACAGGGCATACTTCCTGTGGCTTTTGCCGGGAGGTGATCCATGCCCTCCGATTCTCAGAGGCCGCTATCCCTCTACCGGCGGGGTGGTCAATCCCCATACATAGACCGTTCCATATTGATTGAGGCCATTCTGCACTTTCTCGTCATCTCACCTTGACGGATCCATGCCCTCGATTCACACATCTCCAACACGAGCCAAGCAGGAGGAACAGGTGAAGTACCTGCCCAAACATACCCCTTTTTAGGCTGGAGGACGCTAAGCGACCGAAATCGCCGCTACGCACCGGTGACCCCACGCCACACACCTTCAACAGGTGGCCGGTACAGGCGCCTGACAGGGGGCCGGGCAAGGTGCCGACAACCAGGTCAAACCCACCCTGCCTGTGAGGATATTATGTACGAGGCCGCTATCCATTGTGAGACTTGACATTCTCATCCAGCCGTAGCCATTGTTCCAAAGACAGTCGGCTGGCTCTCTTGTTTGCCACCAAAACTCCATACTCTCACTTGGGAGTCGATTTCCCTCAACCGAAGTGAGGCCCACTCTGCGACCACGGTTAGGTGAATTTTACACACCCCCTCATGCACAGATGGTCCTTGGGTAGTTCCCTTCAGTCCTTTCTTTCCTCCTGCTTCAGGATCTTCTTTCCAATCCTGACAAGAGCCTTTCCAAGCTCTTCCGGGTAGGTCCCAGACTCCTTCAGAGACGCACTCTTCGAGTGTTCGTGGTTTCCTGCGCAAACGTACGAAGACAGTTCCCACACACAGGCAGCACTATTAGAAGCGAACCACCATCTCTTCCAAGTCTTCTCTTTCTTCTCGAAGCAGCATCTATCTACTAGACATCCTTGCGTTAGACCAATGCTTTTAGAGACTTCTAGAAATACCGTTTCCTTCCACAAAGAGGACCTTTCAGGCCATTCGTAACAGCAAACCCTCGTTAGAGGCATAGGGGCCGAAGAGCTTCCCTATAAGTCTCCAGCAACTCTTGTGAATCTTTAGCGTCTTCCGCCAAAGTTCCAAACCTCGTCGCTTGCGGAAACGCAGGTACCTCAAGGGGCAGCCTGAGCTGCAAAGCGTAGACAAATGCGCAAAGACACGGACCTTTCCCTGCTTCAGGACTCTTAAGATCTCTTCAAGAACAAGAAAGGTGTTCTTACTCAGAAGATTGATTTCCCGAGTCACTCCGAAGTACGCTATGCCTTTCTCTCGAGCACACGCTCTCGCTATAGCACTCAACTCTTCGCAGCAAAGCTCCAGAACGACGAGCGACACTGTTCCTCTAGCCAATGCCGTCGCGGCTTCCATCCAAGAGCTCGGAACCTCCAGCGGAGAGGACCTTACTGCGTTCGAAGATACTTCCTCAGTGATATTGGGCTCATCTCTTACTTCTTCGACGTTTTCTTCGGAGATCGACGACCACGATTCTGGCTCGTTAATGAGGCCGCTTGCCTCACAAAGACTGACCAAGTTCTCCGCAGTTGGGGACTTCGTTAGAGCATCTGCGGGGTTGAGTTTCCCCGGTATATACTCCAGCGTCAATCTTTCCTTGGCGACTAGTTGTTGGAGAAAAGCCGCTCTCAACTCTATATGGCGGACTTTCCTAAGGAGGGTACTCATTTGCGCTATGGACAGGGCGCTTTCAGAGTCCCCGTACGCGTGCAACTGATATCGGCCTTCCTCCGAATCAGAAGGCATCCCCTCCACCATCGTCTGCACCAACAGAGATATATACAATCCCTCTCTGGCGATTTCAGTCAGTGCTGCCAGCTCGGCTTCTGCCGATGACAGAGCTACGGTCGTCTGTTTCCTACTGAACGTCTTCAAGCAACAGTTGTTCCAGGTCACAATTCCACCACTCACAGAGTTCAAACCCCAAGACGCGTCAACAAAACACGACACTGACTCTCGGTCCTCATCAGGGGCTAAAAGCTCTCTACGTGAGGGGAACACTTGGACCTTATGCGGTAAACCAGACACCCACCTCAGAACATCCCTCATACAAGCTTCGGCTGCTTCATTGGGGGCTGATTGGTGTCTTCCTAGAAAACCGCATACATACTGCAAATCAGGTCTTGAAAGCGACGCCCAGGCTAGGCGTCCCAAGGTACGCCTATAGCGCTCGTGCGCCTCTGGCGTAAGAGGTGTGTCCTGTCCTTTCTTGATGAGGTCGGCATACCGCCGCTCTAATGGTGGAAGCTTCGGCGCCACCTTAGTGATTCCGTACTCCTCACAGCAAGACCTCAGGTACTTAGCGTCCAAGCCAAAGTATACGCAGGGCTCTCCGGTCTTCTTCCGGAAGATCCTACGTCCCAAGAAAGACACCTCACCTGGTTTTCCTTCCAAGAGCTCACCTGTTAGCTTAAGCTTGTAGCGTTTCTTCAGGTCTTCATACACCTTTCGAGCTTCGGCGGTGTTCTCGGCCCAAATTAACAGATCGTCAACATAAAAGAGGACAATCACCAAACCATTCTTGGTTTTCTTGCGGAAGATTGTAGGGTCCAAGATCTGCTGGAATCCTTGGTTTCCCAGGTACGCCGACAGCTCCTTGTACCAAGAAAGCGGGGCACTTCGAAGCCCGTTCATGGCACGAAACAGTTTCAAGAAGACCTTTTCGCCAGTCTTTGCGTTTCCTATGTTACTCGGAAGCTGCACAAACTCCGGCCGCGCAATAGCGGCGTGCATAAACGCTACCGACACGTCACAGGACAGCACAGACCCTTTTCTACAAAGAACGGAAAGTAGGAGCCGCAGCCCTTCCAGGCTGGTGGTAGGAGAATAGATCCCCTCAGCGAGCGTGGTGCCGCCCATAGCGGCAAAATCGCGGACAACAAGTCTAGAGCGGTAAAGACCAGGCTTCTTAACCGTATTGACCCAACGGCTCGAAAGAACTCTTCTTCCGCTCTCCTTAGCAAGTCGATACGCTTCTCGCTCGCTCACCACTTCTCCAACGTTGAACGACTCCAATTCTTCTAGTTCTAATTTCATGGACAGATAGAGGAGTTTGGGATCTAACAGCTCACCAGAGGTCTCTGACACAGCTTGTTGGGGGACCTGACAACAGATTCTACTCCCTCCAAACTTAAGCTCAAAGGAAGACGCCGCTTGATTGCTCACAGCGCGGCAGTCAGGTCCTTCACCTAACTTCTGAAGATAATGATCCGTCAACCAATCAATCTCCATGTCCTCCATGTCAGGTTCAGGAAGATCGCCACCTGCTACCCCCTCATGACCTTCAGATCCCACTTCTGTGGGCTCGTAATCCGGGACATAATCAGGAAGCATTTCTTCATCCTCTGGGGCTTCAATCTCTTCTTCTTTTGGAACAATGGGTTCCGCAGGCGGTTCAAACAGCAAAGGCTTTTCGGGGTCCTGCGTATCAAGCACAAGAGGATTAGCTTTAGCTAACAGCTCCAACGTTGGGCTGTCGTACGTGGGTTCGTCCCGTTCAAAGATCCCACGACACGCTGGAAAGACCTCAATCTCTCCATCTCCTCCAATGACAGTTCCATACACACCTCCACCTCTAGGATGGACGGGGCCCAGATAGCTCACTCGAACCGTCTTGGCTCCCCGGAACTTTTCTAGATGTCGTTTGGAACCGCCAACTTTGGCCTGCGCAGAACAGCCGAAGGGAAGCGTCCTAGTCCTTTGGACTATCTCCTCGTGCAACCTGTCTATTGCTGTGGTACTATTGTTGCTGTCAAAGTTCCACAAGTTGAAACTGCGTGCAGCGTACAGCAAACAAGTCTGCCACAACATTCCACCTAAAGGTAACTGCCAAGCAGCGCCACCTTCTTCAGCAGGTCGTCGACGCTTTATCTCCGCCTCTAGGTCGAGCCATATCGACCAAAATCCCTGCTTCATCGCAGAGACCTGCCTTTCCACAGCACCTTTAGACTGCGGACGGTATCCTGGCACAACATCTACAATCGTAGGGTTCTCGCGCCTCTGCGCCGCGACCCTCTCGCACATGGATATCAGACCCTGTTCGTTATCGCACCGAAACGTTAAAGTCTTTTGGTGCAATCCAATTTCGCGGATAAACCGATCGATATTGAATAACAAGTTCGGGTCGTGTAGTTCCATTGCGGGGATAGACATTGAGTACCGGGACGCAACATGTACGAGAAGAAGAACCCTCAGTTTCCCAAAATAATAGAAATCGACCC